CAAGGAGAAGCAAAGGCAGGAAAAGGCTGGAACCCTGGAGTGTGGGCTTAAATGGGAAAATACATTCATTGTGCCCCTTAGGTAGTTATGGTGAGAGGGAACCCGAGGGGAAGGGTGACACCAGCTGGGACAGAGAGCACTATAAACAGGCTGTTTATGGAGGTGGCCTTCCCCTCCTGGGAGGAAAGGTGGACGTCTTTCCCGCCCTAATATACCTTTCTGTGTTTTAGGTGGTAACTCCTGTTTTCCTGAATGAATCCATGTGTATAGGTGGACTCTACACATGTGCAGTTCATGATAAAGTAGATGCCAAAAACCACTGACTGGAAGAAGGCAATAGAGATTATGAGAAAAAGAAAGATATGTATATTTTTTAAAAATCAGAAACTTATTCTGGTTGGAAATATTGATGGGGTAGGAGGACTTTAATTGGCTAGAGGGAAATTCTTCAGAGCCAAGCAAGAGAAGTGGGGGATGGAATCCAAAGAGAGTGCGAAACATAAAATATTTATGACAATGCAGAGGAGACAGACCTAAAACTTCATAGTTCTCCTTAGAGTCTAATAAAAACAAGGGTGATGTACAATTGGGGGTGTAGGAGGCTCCCTAGTCAGTTACACTCTGCCTTTATCTCCTAAGCTCTACTTGCTCTGGCCCCTCCTTCTTCCTCTTCTCCTACCCTTCTTTTCCTCCCTCACTCTAACCACACTGCTTCCTCCTTCAAACAGGCCTGCATGTTCGCTGACTTCCTCTTCTTCTTTTTTTTTTTTTAATATATTTTATTGATTTTTTACAGCTAGGAAGGGAGAGGGATAGAGAGTTAGAAACATCCCATTGATGAGAGAGAAACATCGATCAGCTGTCTCCTGCACACCCGCTACTGGGGATGTGCCCGCAACCAAGGTACATGCCCTTGACCGGAATCGAACCTGGAACCCTTCAGTCCACAGGCCGACACTCTATCCAGTGAGCCAAACCAGTTAGGACCTGACTTCCTCTTCTACAACACAGGGCGGCACTCTGTCACTATGAAACTCTGCTCCAAGGTCACCTCATCAGAGAGCTTTCCTGATCACCAGGCTTAAAGCAGCAGTTCCCTCCATCACTCTCCATTGCCTCGCCTACTTTAGTTTTCTTTTTTTTAAGAAAGCTTGTGGTATTCCTCACAGGCTTTTTTTTTTTTTTTTAAATATATTTTATTGATTTTTTACAGAGAGGAAGGGAGAGGGATAGAGAGTTAGAAACATCAATGAGAGAGAAACATCGATCAGCTGCCTCCTGCATACCCCCTACTGGGGATGTGCCCACAACCCAGGTACATGCCCTTGACCGGAATCGAACCTGGGACCTTTCAGTCCTCAGACCGACACTCTATCCACTGAGCCAAACCGGTTCTGGCAACTTTAGTTTTCTTTAGAGCAGCCATCACTACACAGCGCCCCAGCTCCATGAGGATGTAATCACCATGAATGCAGAGTCCTTGTCTGTTCTGGTCACCACTATTTCCCTACCACCTAGTGGGTGACTCTCACATTTTTGTTGAGAGAATGGATACTTTTAGGCTGCTGACCCAATTACCCTTTTCCAGCAACATAAAGCAAGGTAGAGAAACCCAGAGCAAGAGAAAGGGTGAGGCCAAGAGAGAACTCTTCACTGGTCCCCGTGTCTTGGTGTGGAAGCCTCAGGGTATAAACTGATACACAAGAAGGAGCAATTGGCAATTGGCTAACTGTAACTTTTTCCCCCTTTAATATCCTCGTGACATTAGCAAACAATTGTTTTGGCATAGATCCACAGGCGGGGGCTGCTCAGAGTGGCTAGTAAAAGTGCCCTGAACTAGGGATCCAGGAACATGTTCTAGTTAAGGTTCTGTTGCAGACGAGCTAAGTGACACGGGTAAGTCACTTTCATGCTAAGCCTCAGGATTCTAGTTGGTAAATGAAGTAAAAAATATATGCCCTGCCACTTGGCAAGCTCTGGGTTCATAGATCCACGCTCAACCACTGAGTCACATCGACCAGGCTCTGTGTCTCACTTTTACCAACTTTAAAATGGAGCTAACAGGACTTACCTCACAGAAGTATTATGAAGGTTGAATGAGTTAATATTTATAAACCTGTTACAAAAGTCCCTGGCACTCTGTATGTTTGTTATAGAAAATAAAAAAAGCATTGTTACAGAGATTAAAATAATATTCCCAGGAAACTGTTAAGTGAGGATTAACCAAAAAAAACCCCATAAACAAAAAAGAAAGAAAGATTTGACTGAGGAAATATTTGAGTAGCCTGAGTGGACTGGGACTGACCTTAATATATATATATATCTATCGATTGATTTCAAAGAGGAAGGGAGAGGAAGAGAGAGAGATAGGAACATCAATGATGAGAGAGAATCATTGATCGGCTGCCTCCTGCATGCCCCACACTGGGGATCGAGCCTGCAACCCGGGCATGTGCCCTGATTGGGAATTGAACCATGGCCTCCTGGTTCATGCGTCAATGCTCAACCCATGAATGGCTGAGGACTGACTTTTGTGCTTCTGTGTGAAGGTGCTCTGGCTGCTTTGTCCACCACCATACTGATCACCCGGCTGTTTCAGCCCAACAGGCTGATGCAGTGGCCTCCACTCCCTCCCACTGCAGTCCTGTGTTAGCACAAGGATGCAGCTTCCCAGCCTCTCTTTGGAAACTGCATTTTTAGCTGATACTTCATTTTCCCCACGCAGAATATATATATTTTTCCATTTCTATAAGTGGGCCTTTGAGCCCTTTCTGAGTGTCTGAGATAGTGGTCTGCTCAGATCTCTTTCTAGAATAGAGGCTTTCTCGTTATTTTGAAGGACTTGGGACTAGTGGCATATGGCTCTTGCCAGGACTCTTCTCCAGGCACAAAAAACCCGTCTTTAACCCCCAGGATGATGCTTGGGACCTAGTTATCCATGGACAGATATCCAGATGGGCCCACTCACCTCTGCTGGGTGCCCCATGACTATGCTTTACAGGACAACAAGACCTTGTTGATATTGAACCCTTGTTTGTTTTTAAGAAGCAAATTCAACTCAACTCAAATCCTATTGATGTGAATGGTGCTTGGAGCGTGTCTCAATATGGTCATTTCCTTGGATATTCTGCTCTGCTGGCCTCCTTGAACTCTGGCTATTGGCAAAGGCGTGCCCACCAATCCCAACCTCCTCTACAGGTGGGTGTGGAAACAGGCCCAGTCTCTCCCTAAATAATCCTGTCTTGCTGGGAATAAGTCACTGCTCTTCACCAACAAATCCCGAAATGTGATAACAATGAATAGGAGGGCAAGTATTTTATTCCACTTCAGCATCAAAGTGGATGAAGGCAGCATTGCTCAGTGGTTAAGTCTAAAGACACTGGAAGTCAAATCCTACTTTCTCCACTTTTTGGCTAAATGACCTCCAGAATTCTGTGCCAATGCTTTCACCTGTGAACTTGAGATATTAATAGTACTCATCTCATAGGGTATTGTGAGGATTAAATAAAACGATAAATGTAGGCTACTTAGCATAATGCCAGACACATAGTGGTTGCTCCATAAATAGTCAGTAATTACTATTATTGATGAGAGATAGGAGAAGGGAGCAAGGGGAGGAGTTTAAGAAACTGAAACAAGAAAGGTGTAGAGAAAAGGAAGAATTAAAATTCCATGGGGGAAAAAAAACATGTAGAGAGAAATGGACACGGACTCTCCTGTCTTCCACCACAGAGGGTGGGTGGCTGGTAGGATACTTGGAGAGACGGTCAGAGTCACAGGATTCCCAAGTCATGATGAGAAAGTTGAGATCAGGACATAAGCCTGTGAGTTTTGGCTCCGAGGGAAAAATTTTCCTACATGGAAAAGTCATGAGTTCACACACTCAGACTTATTTCGGTGATTTCAAGAGAAAAATGGGGATTTCTAACTTCCTTTTCCACTGCTTCTCTAACCTGAGTTCCAGGAAAGCAGTTGATTCACAGTCCAATGGTAAGCACAAGGGACCACCTTTGCCGGGAACAGCAGCAGGAGAAATTTAGGGTGCAATCTCCGTGAAGCTCAAATGGAAGGAGCCCCAGTTTTAAATGGTCAAGGGAACCAGAGAGACCATGGTGCATTTATTCTACCTTTTCAGAAAACACTAACCCACTCATTCGTGTCAGGAATTTGATAGTGCATTTTTAGAACTGGTAAGAGACAATAGAAATAGATTTAAAATGGCAAACAGAGTCAATTTTTATATAAGCGAGGCAATTATTTGGACTTAATTAAATAATACATGCAATGAAAAGACACACCCAGAGCTAGGTTAATGTTACATAGTTTTCTTCGTACCGACAACAAACAGGATGCCTATGTCCTTTATAATTTACTGTTGAGCATAAGTAAGGAAAACAGAGTTTTTAAAGCCAGTTCTTCATTTTTTGAAAGTAATGTTCTAGTTCCAGTTCTTCATTTTTTTGAAAGTAATGTATTTATAAAATAGGAATAATAGCCACTTCTCATTTATTTTAGGGAGTTTTTGGAAGATAGAAGCTGAGTAATAGCTCTGAATGTGCTTTGAAAATGAAGCAAGCGTCCAGAGATCAAGTTTTTACAGTGACAATTATGGTCATGAACTCCAATCTGATAGGGCAATGAAATAATGGAGAAAAGTATATTTCTTTCAAAAGCCATATGACACATTATAATGCCCCAAAAGAAATAGCTTTTAAGTTATTCAAGATTTTGGATTATTTCTTCTTTTTCTGGGCTTTCTGGCCAGGTCTGAGTCTCCTGAGCAGAAGGGTTTGTCTCAGCTCTTTGGAGACCCACCACAAACAAAAATTCAAACTCTAAAGCTGAAAAACAGGTTTGACTCTTACTGGTTGTTTTCCTTATAGACCAAGGGTATCTGTGTTGAAACCTATTAGAAGGGCATTTCCATGTCTTCCTTCAGGGCAATCTCTAAATAAAAGTAATAGAAAACTAGGAAGGGATCAACAAGGGTCAGAACTTACAGGTTTGTAGGCAAAGGAGCAAGATCCATAAATAGTGCTGCGCCATCTTCAGAGGATCATTGATTGTGAAAAGAAAGGCACTCTTCTAGCAGACAGCGTTTCACTCGAATTTTCTTGCTATTTATAGCTGAAAGGAAGTGATAACGATTTCAGTAACAATGGTCTTTGCTGTTTTTTCCTATATTATCACATAAAGTGCCTAGCATTAATTCATTGTTTTTTTAACAAATATTTATTGAATGCCTACTATGTGTCAGGCACTATTCTGGGTGCTGGCAGTATAAAGACCAACAAAGCAATTGATCTCTCCCCTTGTTGGGGAGATCAACAATTAAACAGTGTTTTAACAGAGGAAATTATGGAGAATGGGGAGGGCCCGGGCTAGGAGAATGTGGGGAAGGCTTTCTGTAGGAACTGACAACCAAGCTGAGATGGATCTGAAAAGTAAGTTAGCATTATTAGGCAAAAGGTGATGGGGGATAGAGAATAGGAAGAATGTGTTCACATGATAGGAGCTTAATAAATGGTAGCAACTAATACTATATAATTACAGTTATATGTTAATATATAATACAATTATATGTAACTAATAAAACATATTTTATACAAATTTAATAATTTCCCAAATTATCCTATATAATAAAAGCCTAGGTGGCGTCATGCACGACGTCATCACAAGATGGCCACCACAAGATGACCTGCAGGGGAGGGCAGTTAGGGGAGACCAAGCTGGCAGGGAGGGCAATTGGGGGCAACCAGGCTGGCAGGGGAGGGCAGTTGGGGGTAATCAGGCCGGCAGGGGAGGACAGTTGGGGTGATCGGGCTGGCAGGGGAGGGCAGTTGGGGGCAGAAAGAAGAAAGAATGTAAAATTGCCAAGAGCTGCTGAAAACTTAACGTTGTATTTCTTTCTTCCAAATTAATGCGAGCAGGGGAGGGCAGTTGTGGGTGATTGGCCGGCAGGGGAGCAGTTAGACGTTGATCAGGCCGGCAGGGGAGCGGTTAGGGCTCAATCAGGCTGGCAGGCAGAAGCAGTTAGGAGTCAGCAGTCCCAGATTGTGAGAGGGATGTTCAACTGCCGGTTTAGTCCTGATCCTGGCAGTTGGACATCCCCCAAGGGGTCCCAGATTGGAGAGGGTGCAGGCCAGGCTGAGGGACAACGCCCCCACCCCCCCATGCACAAATTTCGTGCACCGGGCCTTTAGTTTTATGTAATAATGATATTCTATTATGTTATTATATATTTTATATGATATATAATTATGTTATATATATCATATAATTAATATAATTATATTATGAGTGAGATAAATGAAACACAGGGCTATTCTTTCGTCGAGGCTTATCACTCCCTGTTAGAAGATAACAGGGGTCTTGTATGTATGTAGGGTGTCAGGGGTAATAATGTTAGGGGCAAAAACAGAATATTGGAGACTAGCTATGGTTATAAGAAATATTAATCATGCTCTGTTAACTGTGATTGCCTTGTTCTGATGAAAGAGAGGACATTCTAACCTGTCTGGGAGTTGTACACTGCTGGGACCTGGGAATCAACCTTGGACCTGGGAGTCAATATTGGAATTCGGTCCAGTCTCATTCAAGAACTGCCTATTATCATGGAAAAAGTTAACCTTGTTGCCCAAAGAATGGAGTCCCACTTCAGCCTGCACTGCCTACTTCCCCATGTCATTTTTGTCCTACCCAATATAAGCAGTGGTTAGTTGCAGAGCAGATATTTGTGGATGATCTGCTGCTCTCCTGTACTGTTTGCATGATTGGAATAAACACTCATATATGATTCAACCCTGTCTCCGCTTAATTGCCTCAAGTATTGGCAGGCAGCCCAGACCCCTTGGTTGTCTAGTTAAAATAATAGTATAAATACTTGAGCCCCAAAGCTAAGCAATGTTAACTGGAACCCAGCTGTTTGGGGGGAGTCTGAGGATCCAGCTCCTGAGAACTGGGGGAAATAAGATTATGTATAGCCTTTGCCACTGAGAGGAGCCCTTCATTTCTAGGCAACTTGAGCCTCTGAGGTCATTTACTGTATAATCCTGCTCATCATTCTCTAAATATATAATTGTTCAGTATAGTACAAGTGAGTGCCTTTATGTAGGGATAGTGAACCAGGCAGCTTTTTGGGACCAAAGAAAGACTGAAGATAAAAATGGAATTTCCCAAATTAATTATTTCATTTCATAAGATTAAACCCTATTACTTTCACATTTTTAGCATGTCTTCCTAAAATATGTGATTACTACACATGGAAAACACACACATTCATCATGTTTTATAGAGAAGGAAAAAAGAAGAAAGAATGTAAAATTGCCAAGAGCTGCTGAAAACTTAACGTTGTATTTCTTTCTTCCTTCCTCTTTCTCTGTAGCAATGTTCTTTCTTCCCCTGTTATCTGAAACTCGTGCTTGGTCTCACGTCTATGCCTTAAGAAATCTTAGATGGTAACTGTTAGGCACATTCTTAGATAGTATCTGTTAGGCACATTATGCCTTGCAGGGGGCTCTTGCCCCTCCCGGCGATTATCTGTTATTCTCCTTGTAGGTTTCATGAACAATGGCCTTTGGCTTCCAGTAAACCGCCTCACCCAGTTTCCAGTGGATCACCTACACCTCAACCCCACCTACACCTGGTCTGACCCATTACTCTGACTGACCCTTAAAAGTGACAAATATCTCGTTCCCCCTACTCTGCCCTGCTTATGCCGTTTTGGTCTCAGACCTTCTGCTAGCAGATGTAATCTATAATAATAAAAGCATAATATGCTAATTAGACCGGACAGCCAAAAGACCTTCCGGATGTCCTTCCAGACGACCTTCTGGATGAAGCTGGGGCTGTGAGGGCCGAGCCCCTTGCACGAATTTCGTGCATTGGGCCTCTAGTACATTTATAATTCTTTACCCCTTTTGGCCTCATGCATTCCTCCTTCAGCAACCCTAGCAGTATCTTAGTCCTGTTGAGCCTAGACCAATGTCTCTCTCTCCCTTTTTTTAAGAGAAATACAATCCAAAAATTTATACTTACATATTTTGGTTTGGTTGCTTTTAACTTCCAAAAATTTAAGGGCCTGCATCAATTCTACAGTTTACAAAAGGAAAGCACCCAAGTAAAAATATCTTAAAAGTGAATTATGCCTGGAAAAAAAACAAGCTCTTTTTCTTTACAAGTTGAGTTTTGTTTTCAGTATTAAAATGAAGATCAAGATTATATACAAAAATAGTATCAAGTGAATGATTATGTGTTGGAGAGCAGAAACTTCAAAATGATGATTAGAGAAACTAGTAAGTCCAATACACTGCACACATCAAGTTGTAGATTTGACAGAAAAATGGCCAATGTCCATAGTCTAACATATCAGGTCGGACAGTGGTCAAATTGGGCTTCACTGAAGTAATTTGGTCACCTATTATGAACGAACTCTTGTTAGCCAACTATTATTTGTTTGATGTTCAACTTTTGATATATCCTATCCTGGATAAGACCTTTAGTTTTCATCATATTCCTAGACCAGTGTCTTATCTCTATCTTTCAGCCTTATACTGCATGTCAATCAAGAAGACTCTAGGTTTTGAGACTTATTTTGATCTGATGTGGAAGGATATGAAAGTTCTGCTATTCCATGATAACAATAAGAAAACTGAAATTAAAATCATGCTTATCTGTGGAATATGCAATGAGTGGTATATGCAAAAAACCCACGATGAACTGAATTCCAGAGAGAAATGTGCCCTTTGTAGATGAGCGGAGAGCCAAGTAGCTCAAAAGCTGGGGCAGGGAGAAGGAGAAAATAGTGGCCGAATAGGCAGACTTTTCTTCCACCTCCTCCCAGGGCCAGACTGGAAATAAAACTAAAGTGGGGAACATGCACCCATAGTTACCAATTGAGGTCCAGTGAAGGAGGAGACTTATATCAAGAAAGGACAGAAAACACCTGGAGACGGACAGGAAGGGTGAGGTCAGGAGAGGAAATGACCGACTGTCCAGGAGCAGCAGGTGGGCAGGCCGAGAGCGAGGAGGGAGCTCCTGGCTACAGGAGGCTGTTCCCTCCAAGATAGAGGCCGGGACCCAGATGGGCTCCATAGCCTGGAGTACCAGAGCCCAGAGCCCGGAGTTCCCAGGGAACATCCCACCGTGAAAGGCAACAGGGCTGCTGGCCACAGTGGGGCCTGGAGCCCGTCAGAGAGAAGGCTACCGTTTAGTTGTTTTTTTTCTTTTTTCTAAACCCAGAGCACAGAAGTTTTCATTGGCAGCTGCTCACCTGAGGCTTTGGTGCAGGAAGGGAGTGCGGACTTCAGGTGCCTAAGGAGAGGCCGGGGTGGGAAGCATTCCAGGGAGACGCAGAGTCCAGTCCTTGGTCACATACACCCAAACCAAATGGCCTTTTGTCTTAAGAGGAACTAACCCCTCCCAGTAGCCTCAGGGCAGGTCAGAGAAACAAAACCCCGCCTTAGATGGTAACAGCCACTCTACCCTCAGGAGCCATGCCTACCACAGCCTAAATGTCCGTTTTTAGAGAAAACAGAAGCTGAGGTCAAGCCTATGGGTTTGAGGGTTTCAATAGTCTCAGGGAGCATCAGTGACTGGATTGGGGAAGGGGCCATCCACCCCACTATCCTGGGCACCAGTCTAGTCCGGTACTTTCCCTGCACGGAGAGCTGATAGAAACTCCCGGTTTCCAGCTGATCCCACTGGATTGCATCCAGATATTTTGGGCCAATCGCAGAGGAGTAGCTCTGGGACAGGGAAATACACCCATCACATTTTCTGAAATCTGAACAGCCCCTTTCCTGCCTACAGCACTTTTGAGGGATTAAGGTTGACAGATGGATTTAATTGACATTTATAGAACATTTCACTCAAAAGCTGCAGAATATACATTCTTCTCAAGTGCACATGGGTCATTCTCAAAGATAGACCACATGTTAGGACACAAATCAAGTCTCTACAAGTTCAAGAAGATTGGAATCATATCAAGTATCTTCTCAGATCACAATGGAATGAAATTAGTAATCAACTACAGTAAAAACACTCAAAAATCTTCAAACACATGGAGGCTAAATAGCACGTTAAATGAATGGGTTATCAATGAGGTCAAGAAAGAAAAAAAGAACTTCCTGGAAACAGATGAAAATGGTCACACAACCACTCTAAATCTCTAGGACACAGCAAAACCAGTCCTGAGAGGGAAGTTCATAGCATTACAGGCGTACCCCAGAAAAAAAGAAAAACTTCTAATAAACTACTGTTATGGGTTGGCTCAACGAGATAGACCACCGACTCAGAATTTAAATTTAAAAGCCTTTTATTAAGCTGGCCAGCTGACCACAGCCTGCACCTTCCCCCTCTGGGAAGGTTTGCAGCATGTGGTAGAGACCAAGGGTGCAGTATGATCCTTTATAGCAAGACAGTGTTAAGAAAAATTAACTACAAAGCATTCCATTAAGGTTAAACAGAGTCACACCTGGCTGGAGCATATCATAACACATTGTTTTTCTAAGACAATCTAACAATCCTTCTTCCACTGACTCTGACGCACTTCTTACTCATACATCCCCCCTCTCCCTCCGAGCACATTCAATTTCTCATGTCTCATTTCCCCCCCTCAACACATTCCATAACCCTTTACTCTATAACATTGTAACATTCTGTAACTTTTTCATGACTCAGTCCCCTGCCCCATAACATTCCCTACTGGTCTTATGCCCGAATCAAATCTTTGATTCAGCGCCCTCCTCTATGATATGAAATTGAGGAGGCATTTGGCAATGTATGGTGAAGAATTAGCCAGGGTCTCGGCCACTGACATAGAGTCTTAGTTCCCATGTCTTTCTCCTTCCTATTGGTCAGTTCACCAGGTGAGAGGCATGAGGAGGACGGGGTTACAATTTCCAGTGCCTCTTTCCTGCGACTTTGATGGCGGTTGGAGTGGTCAGCACCACCTGGTAGGGTCCATCCCATCTAGGTTCCAGGCTACTAGGGTCGTGGCGCTTCACCCAGACGAGATCACCCAGAGAGAAGGCAGGCTGTGTTGGACTGGATCTCAGCACGTCCTCCTCCCGTATGGCTCTCACCACCCGTCATGCTGACGTGGCCCTGCTCTGCAAAGCCTGTAAGGACTTAAGCAAATTTTGGGTAGACAGCTGGGCAATTTCTTCCTCCCCCAACCTGGGCACCAATGGCAGCGGTCGCCCAAACATTATCTCAAAAAGGAGTTAGCCCTTGGATGTATGGGGTGCACCTAGCTCTGAGGAGAGCAAAAGGAAGGAGACTTACCCAGTTTTCGCCAGTCTCTAATTTTAACTTAGTTAATGTTTCCTTTAAGATCCAATTTATCCTCTCTACCTGTCCAGAACTCTGTGGTCTACAAACACAATGCAATTTTCAAGTAACTCTTAGGGCCTTAACTATGGATTGTAACTTTGGCGATAAACGCCAGGCTAAACCGGGGGACAATTTCAGTGAGGAGTTTTCTAACTACTACCTGTGCTGTCTCTGCCTTAGTTGGGTATGCCTCAGGCCAGCCAGAGAAGGTATCAATGAAAACCAGCAAGTATTTATACCCTCCTTGTCCTCCTGGTATCTCGGTGAAGTCCATTTCCCAGTGTTCTCCGGGGTTCTGACCTTGGAATCGCTGTCCCGGCGCGGCCACAACAGGGGGCCCTTGATTCACCCGGGCACACACTTGGCACCTTCTAGCCAACTCTTGAGATATTTTCTGGAGCCCTGGGATGTAAAATTCTCTTCCCAGTAGTTCTGATAGCTTCATTCCCCCCAGGTGGGTACTCTGGTGGGTCTGGGAAGCGATGGTCCGCCCCAGGGCTTCTGGCATTATAGGCCTCCCATCTGGCAGAATTAGCCATCCAGCCTCTCCTTCCCGGGCCCTTAGTTTCTCAGCTAGCCTCTGCTCCTCTGGCAGATAAGTAGGCTTCTCCGGGAGCCTTCGTGCTGGCAGGGCTACGAGAACTTCTAGGGGCCCTACTGGTCTTTTAGTCAATTCCTTGGCCCCTATATGGCTGCCAGGTGGTTAAGTATCTCAGGAGCTTTTTCCTTTCCTCCTGAGGTCAGGAGACTTCTTTAAGGTGGCTCCCGTGTCCTCCTGTAAGGGCAGTGTGAGGAGATATATCCCTGTAGTCCCTGGGTAGGTCTGGCAGGGCCAGTGCCTGGGCGCTTACCAGGGCTTCTTAGATCTCCCCTGGCTCCTCCTCATGTGCCCCCTGCTACCGGGTACCTTCCTCTAGGAAGCTGCTCCCGTCGTCCGTGTAGAGGGTCTCATCCGGATTCTGCAGGGCTGGTCCACAAGGTCCTCACGGAGGGAAGTGAGGGTAGTCAGTGTCTCCTCGCAGTCAGGCAAAGGGGCCTCTGCCTTCTTGTCAGGGAGGAGTGTGGCAGGGTTCAAGGCAGCTGTTTTCAGGAAGCTGAAATGTTTACTCTTTTTCCCTTTCCCTACCAGAGGGCCTGAGTGAGTGCTATGAGTTCCACAAGGAAGTCCACCTTTTGGCCCCCCACTGTCAGGGTTATTCTCGGCTCCTGGGGGCCAGCTGAGCCCCGACAACCCCAATCCACCTCCTCCACCAGCATGGGAGGGAGTCGGTTCCCCCGCACGTTCAGGGCACTCCCTTTTCCAATGTCCTTCCTTTCTGCAAAATGCACATTGATTTTTCCCAAGCCTGGGTTGGACTCCTTTTCTTCCGAGAGGCTTTTCTTTGCCCTTGTTGTCTCTCCGGCCCCTTGGGCCTTTTTCCTCGTTTAGGGCCAGGAGGACCTTGGCCATCCAGGTGTTTAAACCTGCCATTGGGTCCTTCAGATTTTCAAAAACCTTCTGGGCCACCTCAATCAACTTAGAGATTGATTTCCCCTCAAAGCCTTCTAACTTCTGTCATTTTTTTCCTAATATTTGGGGCCGACTTGGAAACAAATGCAACATTGACAGCCCTCCGACTTTCCAGGGCATCAGGGTTAGGCCCCTGGACTGTCTCTGTCACCTTAGAGAGGTTTATGGGTCTCCAAGCAGCAGCTCGGATGCCCCCTAATAGAGTCTGGCGATACCGATCGAGAGCCTCCTTTCCCCTGTCACTATAGGGGTTCCAGTTGGGTTGCCTGGAGGGAAACACAGCCTTCAATCTGTCTTTTATTTGTTCTTTCAGAATGGACTAAAGGAGCTTTATTTCCCTACAGGGTCTTATATGTCACAGGACCTCACAGGGTCTGTAATTCCTGTAACAGAGGGCTAGTATTCACCACTTTATTAACCCCCTCTGTTCTAGACAGGCCTTCCCCAGTTTCCTACAGTTGAGGTTTTGTGCCACCCCTGACATGGGCATGGTCACACAGGCCTGTAAGACAGTATACAGGTTGCTAACTGTCAACTGTCTCTCAATAGAGACCAAAATTTAATGGGTATTCTTCTTTGCCCACCTGGGCAACTGCCCTCTCGGCAGCTAGACACCCTTTACTTTTTGGGTTCATTCCACATAGCCTTTTTCCAGGACAGTTTACACATAGGCCAGTTCTTTCTAGCCACAAATACAGTTTGTCCAATTTCCTTAAAATGTATTCTGGCACAGGAGAAAGTTGTTTTGCTGTACATAGGTAGCTTAATCCCTATACAACTGGGCTTGGACCTCTGCCTAGCAAATTGCAGTCTATAAGTTCAATATGCAGCCTCCGGTCCTCCTAACCCAACGAGGTTTTGGCTAGTCTCTGAGTCAGACTTCTCCTCTCTTGGAGAATTTCAAAGTCCTGATGGCTCCCAGGTCCAGGGAGAGTGCTCTTTTCTTAACTCTGCTTATTAGTTACAGGGCCCTGCTTTCCTTGTCTTCCCACCAGTCCCCTTTATGGCAGAGCAGCCACCAGGCCTCTTTCAAGGGAGTGTACTGGAAGGGGATATCAGCCCCTCCTCTTCCAGCAGCAACAGGTACTAAACCCTTTCAGTACATTTGCAAGCAGGGAGCTTTTACGAACTCTATCTGCAGCTTTCATAGATCTCAGGCTTGCTACTCTATTTCTGGGGCTGTAGGAAGGCTAGTACCAATCACTGGCTTATGGCTTAACTGCTGTAGCCTGCAAGCCAAAGGCCCAAGTACTTTCTCGCTGCTGCTGCTGCTTTTTTTTTTTTTTCAAGGCCACTGCAGGCAGCTCAGGCATCCAGCCCCCCTTCTTTGATCATTCACTCCCTAATCTGGTCTGGAGCTGGGAATAGCGCCTCGGTCTGCCTTGCTTCCCCAGAGGGCTGCCTGTCTAGCCCCAGATCTAGAGGGCCGGCCTGCCGTAGTGGCAACATAGGAACTGCAGGACTGGCAGATGTCGCAAGGTCCTGCAGGTTCTCCCCCTCTCTCCCTCTGTCAAGAGCTGGTGGCGTGGCCTGGGGACCATAGGGGGCAGCCGGCTAATGGGTTCT